CATATTTTATTCTAAAGTTAGTATATTTCTCTGAAGTGTTAATAAAATAAATGTTTTCCATCACAGGTTTTTTCTAACTCTTTTGATTCCTTTCATTACCCTAAAGTTAAGACTTTGTAAATGTAGTCACCTCTACAGTCCATTAATACTTTGTTTTTATTTGATAATTATTTTTGTTTGGTGAGAATGTCTTTTTTTTAGGTGCTTTAATTTGATCCATTATGGGTTTATTTGAGGCTCTTCAATTTGTGGTTTCATCTGTATCCTGCTTTGAAACTTAAGTAGGTTACTATATTATGGGCCCCGCTTGAGTTTTGCACAATTTCAAACAATTTAGATTGTAAGTATTTGCAAGAAAAGAAAATACTGCTTCTTCTATGGGAGAACGCACATTTTCGGGCCTTTTATTTGTGGATTTCAAGATCACTATTTTTAATTTGTGTTCTTTTTTGATTCCGGTCTTTTATGAATTTAAAACTTGCATTCTGTTATATATTTATTTATAGCTATTGACGCAGCGTGTTTTAATTCATTTTTTTTGTTTAGGTTGTTAGTAATTTGTTTTATTTCTTTGGTTTGTTTCCTCTATATTATGTCTCTATATTATTTTATAAATGGATTTTATTTCTTGGTGTCTTGTGTCTAAGTTTTCATGTGTTTTAAAAAATTAAAAGTATTAATATGATCTTACTAAAGCAAAAGCAGTAAAGATTAATGAAGAGGAATGTGGAAATCGCATCGCTTCATTCATACTTTTTTTGCATTCATTTTTCAGAACTGAATTAGGGGACAGGATATATAAAAAATCCTGTTAATTCATACTTGCAACATCATTCAGGTATATGGGAATTGATTTGAGAAATTGAAATATGCCTTGGATTAGATTTATCCTCGATATTCATTTGCTTGTGTTTTTTTTTTTTTTTTTTTTTTAGACGGAAAGACAAGAAGTGCAAAATAAATTGAAAAAATAGAAGATGAAAATAATGTTTCAGACTGAAATTAATGCAGTTAAAATTTTAAAAAGTTATCTAAAGTTAGTGCTGATTGAGTGCATATTTGGATAAACAAAACGTGAATAAAAATTTGAATAAACAAAATGCATAATTTAGATAAAAAAGTTTTTTCTTTTGAGATGAAGGATGCATAATTTGGACAAAAATTTTTTTTTTTGAACAGTGGAAAAAGGTAAGGAAATACTGTCGGAGATGTAAACAGGGATTTTAATTTAAGAAAGCTAAAAATTGTCACTTGTCACTGAATAAAAACATCACAATCCAGAATTGAACAATTTTTAGGAATTTGAACTGAAATATGAACAGTATGCGAATGAATAAATGCTTGATGATTCAGTAATTCTAAACAAATATTGAACAGGGTAAATTCGAGAGAAGAAGAGATTAACTTTCTACCCAAAATATTTTTGTATAAGCAAATTAGAATCCGGTATGTTTATCTAATTTTTGACCTCTCTTTCTGACCTTTAATAAAATTTTTCTTTGTTCTTCATAATTAGATACATTGTACTTTATTCAGTATAATGGAAATTTAGGTTATTTGATTAGTGGAATATTAGAACATTTAATTTAACGTACTCATTAGTCGAATAAGTTAGATTTGTATTTAAAGGAATTAAACTATTAAATGCATAAAATCAGATTTGAAAAATATATGATCAATAAAGATGAAAATTTAAAGCATCAAATAAAAATTCCTAAAATAATAATTGTTATTTTCTAAAATTCATTATCTATTCTGCATTATTACATAAAAGTATTGCTGAAATTTTCACAAATGATAACTGAATTTAATTAGAAAAATATTTTCATTCGTTTTGCAATTTATTTTCGATAATTTTTCTCTCTTTTCGATAAGAAAATATTTCATTTCTTTTTTTTAACTTCTATTTACATTCAATCTTCGTCGAAGCATATCTCCCAGCTATGACATGGTCAGAACACATACATTCAAGAAATTATCTGCTCTTGGCCTACGGAACGGACACACATCGATGTCACATACTGGGTGGCAGTGTTGTCACATACGTATGATCTTGGGCTGATAAGGTTACGTGATATGATATGATAATAAGAATAGCTATGGGAATGGAAATTGGATGAATGCTAATTATCGCATCTATCACTTTTTTAATTTCTGCAATCAGTATACCTTATCACATTTTCCGTCAGTTCTTCAGGTATAGTGGAAGAAGAGAAATACAGAGAGAGAGAGAGAAAGAGAGAAAGAAAGAGTTCCTTCTCTGTCTTTTGTCCTACCATTTTAAAATTTGAAATTTTAAGATAAATTGATAAAAGAGTAAATAAACAAATAAATAACTTCGGCATTGTATACATTTGCGATTTTCGGTGATCTATGAGCATTGATCGACCCAACACTTCAACATTTTTCCGATAATTGTACTCTGAAAGGGAGAGAGAGAGAGAGAAAGGGAGAAGGAGAGAAAGAGAGAAGGGAAGGTGAAACAGAGCAAGGAGAGACACCTTGAAGTATTGATTATTTTTCAACGTTGCAGCAGTAGCAACAGCAGCATTTCATGTTGGTTTGGAAGAAAATAGGATGAATTTAAAGGACTTTCATTACAGATACTGTTGTTACCCACTTTACATTTACCCACCCACATTTACCCATACTTATTCATCATATCATTCTTGAATATATGAGTATATTAATTGATTATTTCATTACTTAAACTTTTCCCAATAATTTTATTTGCTTACTTATTGATGATAACTTCTGCTAATGAAACCAAAATTGCTATTCATTTCTTAAGTCACTTTATAGTTTCATTTTTGAATACATTCGATCATTGGGAGGAGGTATTATTCTGCTTGGCTTTTTTTTTGTTTCAATTTATATTTTACCTTTTCATTTGATAAAAAAAAAAGAAAACAATAATGCAGCTGAAATTTATTTATTGCAACTAAAATTTATTGATTGTTGGGAATGAATTCAATTTTTAGATCATTCTGAAAACGGTTTATAATTTTGCAATGCAAAACGAAACAAATTGCTAAATTACTACTGATAATACTGTCTAAAATTAGTGAACAATACTAACAATTTCACTAATTTCAATCTTTTTTTTTTGCTTACAGTTGAACGGGAAGAGTGAGAGATAACAGGTCAACAATTTACATTTTATTTAATTTGTTTGAATACACATAATTAATCAAATCCTATATTGCCACGTGCTTCTTTCCTTATTCATTTAATTCTTATTTGCTTAAAGTAAGCTATGCGCTATTTTACATTCCAGTAATTGTGGTACTTGGGAATTGCTAATGCTATATGGTACCATGTGGTATTTGTAGGATAGGTGAAATTCAAATTAGATGAAATTCAATTTATTAGAAGAGACAGTGGATGGTGAATGGTACCGCATGCTATAAACGATAATAAAGCATAACAATAGGGAAAATATCAATCGTTCCTGAATTTTCAGTATATCATTTGCTTTTTTTTGCTTGAAATGCTTCTTTGATTTGTCTTGTAATTTTTCAATTCAGACTTTCATTTATTTTAATATTTTTCCTTTACTTTTAAAAACAAACAAAAAAAAATTAACAGTGCAGAAGTGTTAAAAATTGATTTTTCTTTTTTGCTAATTCTCTTAAATGTGTAAAATTGGAATTGTTGTTAGTGTCATTTCAGAACGCTCATTCTACCATTCTCAGCTTTAGATCGAATATGATATGAATGAGTAAATTATTGTAATTGAATTGATTTTAAAATTAAACCAAAAATGTAATTTTCAATCTTAAAATCAAATTTTTTTTTCTTTTTTTGCTACATACATCTATATAATTGGAAAAGAGCATAATTTGATACATATTGTTGATACTTAAATCATGAAATTGGTCTTTTCATATACGGTTTCCTTCTCTTAACTTACAGCTGTTATTGATTAGAAATTTATTGTACCTACTGCAACACTTCTATATTTGTTTCATTAGTTTAAACTAATTAATTAATTATGAAAAAAAAAAGGGGAATTAGCATAAGTATACAGTTGAATGAATGAGTTAAATTATAAAATGAGAAATGATAAAAAGTTTGAGATATAAAATAATAAAGCTTTATTCATTTTTAGTTATTGCAAAGAAATACTTGTTTTTTACGCTATCTAAGCTGATAACTAGAAAGACTTTCGATAATATATATAAATGGTTCATTTTGATAGTGACTGTTTTCATCTATATTTCATTGTTGATGTATCATTTTGTCCATTTTTTCATGTAAGTAAAATATATTATTTAAAAAAAAATAAAAAAAGAAAAGAAAAATAATTCCAGACTAATAGCAGCATCAGCAGTTAGCAGCAGCAGTTAGCACTTTATTTGTTTGTACATCGAATGGAAAAAAGAAAAAGACGACAACAATAACGTGGGGCGCTTGCATTTGGTGATGCGCCTTCATCATTTATTGTTTCATTTATCAACATAATTTTGCACCGTCTCTTACTAGTGTATATTTTATTTTTATTTTTTGTCATTATTGTGTCAACTGATTCAACAGCAAACAATATAAAAGCTCATCATTTTTTTTGCAGTAAGTTATTTTATCTTTTTTTAAATTATATTTTTATTTTTTTGCTTTTTTTTTTTCTAGGAATTATTCTTATATTATTCACAAAATTTCTAAAGCTTTTGTTTTTTTTTCTAGTGCGATATATTTTTTCCTTTTTTTTTTTTTGAAGATAGAAAGTGTAAAATAGGCTGATATATTGCTTAAAATTTTAGAGGTAAAATTATTTCTGCTAATTGCATCGGAATGAAAAAATTCAATTATTTTTATTGAAACTTGCACTAAATAACTGTAAATTATAAAGAATTTGATTTACAAAAAAAAAAAGAAAAAAAAAAGAAGAATTGCAGGAAAGTGTTCTGAATATTTTGAATCTTTTTGTTTAGCAAAAAGGAAATTTATCGGACTACCTTGTGAGATAATTTCCTATTATCCCATCGAAGAATTATGTAAAAATGACAATCTATCAACTGCGTCGTTTACATGTCAGTCAAAGTTCGCAATCGCTGTTACCAGATGATACGGTACTTTTGTAAGTTTTAATTTCATTGCAATTGTATTTAAGCTGTTATGAATGAATTCTGATCTAGAACCTAGAACGCTACTTATTGCTTCATTCTCTTTTAAAGAAATAAAATGAAGCACTTATGATTTAGATATGGTCTTAGCTCAGATTTCGAGTCGATGACATTGAGACAAAAAGCATATGTGACAATTTTATTTCATTATTAATATTCTTACTGTATTATTATTACTTAAAAAATGTCGTTTGTCACTATTTTACTTCGTTTCAATTTTCTACTTATCAGGTGTTTATATCAAACATTTCAGGTACCAAACGACGAAAATTGGGAGGAATCCTGATTTAGTTGACGTTGTCCTAATTTCACAAGTGCATAGGTATCCAAATACTCAGATTCTTTAAAAAATATAGTTTGTTCAGGCCTCAAAAAAAAAGAAAAAAAATTGAATTAAGAAAGCATTCTTAGAAAGCCTAGGAAGTTAACTAATTTAAATTTCACTAATGTTGAATCAGTTTTGTTTATCATATAATTCCGATTCTTATGCCGACATATCACTCTATGACTTAAAAATATTGTTATTAGCTTATTCATATTTCAATCTTTTAGCAAGAGTTGTTTACTATAGATATTTCAACAATATTTTATATAGATAGATGTAATGCATTAATATATTTTTTCAGTAATATGATCTCAAGAGAACATACAACAATATTTGTAAAAGCAAAACGTGATCGTTATGCATGTTTTATAAAAGATCATTCCCTTAATGGCACTTATGTCAATGATTTTAGGGTTAGTAATTTTTATAACTATAGTAATTTCTTATTGATATTTATTTTTTTATAATTATAATTAGATCACACTTTATTTGCTCATTTCAAAAATCTTCAGGTATCAGGTGAAGCTGAGTTGCAGCAGGGTGATGTAATCAAATTTGGACATGTAAATGGTGCAGCTATTAAACCCGGTTGCTATGGACCGCAGACTTCTGCAGAATTTACATTTGTTGTTTGTTTATTGCTTTTTTAATTTAGCAAATATGATGAGTTGATTGTGTTGTTTACGAAAAATTAATGAATTAAAAATAAGCTCTAAGACTAGCAAATCATGTCGTATCATCTTGAAAAAAAATATTGCAGTAAATGGAAAATGATGAGATATAATTTTTTCAAAATGCTAATTATCTTAAAATGTTATGTTCAAAGTTTTAGAGTTTTCTGATTTTAGTTTGAAGAAGCGCCAGCTCATCGATTGAATGATCGTAGACGTCCTATAACAATTATGGGCAATGCACGACAGGATTTATCCCAGGTAAGTTATTTCTATTTACTTTTGCTCAATTTTCTTTTTGTCTAGTGGAAAAGAGCATAGGTAGAAGAGAAAGAAGCTCAATTTAGATCAGTTTTATCATCAATGGATATTTACTATAAAGTGGTTGTTGATTTAAATAGTTAGTTATAGATGGATGGCAATGTTGATTTCTTATGAAAATTATTTTATGGTTAAAGTGCATAAGTCTAAGTGGAATAGATACTAAGAAATTTTTTAAAATTGTAAAATATTCTATGTTCAGATTTTTCATGTTTACCTCACTCTTTTCTGAAATAATGATATCTTCATCCTCTACATCATTATAGATGTTTGTTGGTGATGGAAAGAATTTGCATACAGCAACATCTCGATTACCTTTGGCTAATCCAGCAATGGAATTGGCCACTTCATGGCAGAATCCGGCTACAGCTAGTGCTGCAGCAGCAGCTCCGTTTTATAATTTGCAAAGGTTTCCTGGTTATTATCAAGCAGCTTTTCCTCAGCTCAGTTCCGCATATTTACACTCATTGTGGCCTCAAAATCCTTGGCCATCGCAATCATCCACAGCTGCTCAGCATTTTCAGCATCATCAACTAGAACAACAGAAACAAGTAGAAGCTGTTGCAGCTACTGCTGCCGTAAGTTTATCATTTTTAAAATTTAATATTCAACAAATACTTTTAAAGCAGTAGAATTTTAAGTAACTGAAATATTTTCATATATTAAATCATGTAGAGTAGATGCTTTCCAGCAGTATGGTCAATTGACCAATGCGGCATGGATGGGTGCAAATGCGCAAATTACTGCTGACAGTTCATCTTTTATGGGAACAACTGGTGATAATCGACTGCGTGCTGTTGTATCAGAGAGAGTATCTTCGCCAAGGATAACTTCGAACATTACATTTCAAATGGCGGCTTCTGCTGCTGTTACAGGTTCATGCTCTCAGCGATCGACAACCACAATTGCGCCAATCATTGATCAATCAGCTGGAGTTGTTAACCAAAATATCAATGCACAGAGCAATCAATTATTACAGTCTTTAGCGCATCATGCACCGGCATCACGTTCAGCTAGAGTTCCAGCTTCTGCTACAGGAAACATTCCGACCACTCGAAATAGTGGTACAACAGCTACACGTCAACATCATTATTCAACAAATTCTCGAATAATCGATGCACAAAGGATTTCAAGATTAACGACAGATTGTTCTTCGGCTCAGGTAATTGCTACTCCATCAGCTATTGATTGTGTAAAACGTATGGAATGTGATAGTTCGGTGCCAAGTCCACCAAAAAATCAACAACAACAAACAGCAGCAGCTATGTTTGGTGCTGCTGTATCAACCGTTGGTATTCAACGAGCAGCAACAACAACAGCAGCAGCAGTATCATCCCAACTATCACAATCATCAGTAACAGCTATTCATGCTCCAACTCAAGTTCAGGCTCAAACTGCAACCCAAATTCAGGCGCAAACTGCAACGCAAGTTCAAGGTCCAACTCTAACAAAATCAACAGCAACGGCAGTACCAGGTAGCGAACGAAGGTTTAATAATAATAGAATTTCTGCTGCAATAAGTACCTGTAGTGGTATTTTCACAGTTTCAAATGTCGCACCAACTTCCATGACCGCTATGAACATGGGTGCAGTAACTTCAACAGCAGCTGGATCTGTACCATCTACTGCACTTTCTCAAATGCCGGTGTCACCTGTAGCATCTTCAGTTATGACACAAGAAAAACCCATGGAAGTATTACAAAGAGGTACATTTGTAATTGGTTTTTATCAATATTCTCTAGTAACTTGTTTTTTTTAAAAATACGAAATTTCAAATATTTTTTTTTTTATATGATATAATTCGCCACATTTTAAATGTGATATGTCCATCCAATATTATGTTCTTTTTTTTTTTGAATGGCTACATATGGATAGCTTTATCATATTTTTAATTACTAAACTCACTTCTAGAAAATGCTGAACGGAATAGTCGATTGTCTGGTTTGGAAGAGTTAACGGAAGATTTGTTAGAAGATTGTGGCCCACCAAGGCGTGTATCTACACCAGCATCCAGTTCTTCTGAATTACCCACTGCATCAACCGTTAAGCAAGACATTCTTACTGCAGAGGAACCAAAGCTATCTGAAACACTATGTTCACCACCCCATCAATCACCAAAAAGTTTGTGACCATCTTCATTTATTTTTCTCTAAAACTTCACATTTTCTTTTATTATTAAATTTTTTGCTGAAACCTGTATGTTATGCTTGTTTTTTTTTTTTTTTTTTTTTTTTTGGATGGAATAGTCTCATTCGACTAGGTATTCACGTGATTTGAATTAATATATATATATAAGTAAAATTTTTTCTTTCCGGAATTTCATTTTATACTTTTAGTAAAATATTAATGTGTTCATGTAACAGTAATGTTTGTAGGACGTGGGCATGGTCATTCGGATTCATCCTGTTCACCCACTCAAACACCTGTTGTATTGGAACAAAAAGTTGCACCGAAAAGACGACGCAAAAATAATGAGGTATCTATATTTCCATTGATATGATAGATGAATTTTTCATGTTACATATTATGAATATGACAAAGAACTATCCACAGTAACGATTAGTGGATGTATTGTTTTAAAGTCAAATAGAAAGTTAAGATTATAAATTGACTGGTTTTTTTTTTATTTCATCATTAAATATATTCCGAATATTAGCATAAAGAGGTGCATTTGATATACCGAGTGAAAGTGATAATAATTTGTAAATTATAACTGAGAAAATGATTTATATTTTGAGGCTGAAAAATATATGACAAGAAAACTTGTACAGAATTATTTGTTTGCGAGAAATTCCTACCATAAATCATTTCATTTTCTTTTTGTTTAGGTAGCTATGTTATTGAATGATTTAACTGAAGTGGCATGGCATCATCTTGCAAGGAAGAGTACTAACAAAATCACAATGCCAACACAAACAAGGTCATTTTTAATAATTAATAAAAAATATGGTTTATTCAATTCATTGAAATAATCTTGCTTCTTTTTCAATTTACTTGAACAGGGAATGTCAGATTTCTATTTAAGTTTTTGTAGCCAAAAAGAAAGAAAAAATTTTGCTCTTTGCATGGACTTCTAAGGATTCTTCTTAATAACATTGGATTACAAAGGCGAAAAATGTTTTGAATCTCTTTATTAATCTTTTAACTTCAGTCAAAACTTACCTCTACTGGTATGAAATTATTAAAATTAATGGTGTGTCTGACTTAACTAATATCAGTCCTCTTAGCACAGTTACTGTATTGTGCATAAGTGACTTAACTTTCACTACAATATATTAAATTTCGAAATGATTAGGATATGATTAATAAAAAGAATATATGAAGAAATAGAGGAAGATATAAGTGTTAATTTCAGGAAGGTATACACACATGATGAAGATGATGATATTGGTAATAGAAGCTGTAAAAGTGATTCAAGTGGCTCAGAAAAACCTGCAAAAAAGAAGCAACAACAAAAGAATATTACGAAAGCAAAGAACGCTTCGTTAACAAAAAGCGTAACTTCTTCGAAAGCAATTGATTCTGATAGTGGTATTGGACGGAAACGTGGTCGACCAAAAAAAGATTATCTCAGTTCGGAAAATATAACCACTACAAAGAAGAAAGTAACAGTAAAAAAGAAGAAAAAGAAGTCTTCTAGTAGCGATAACAGTAGTTCTGATTCTGAAAATGATAAAAAAGAAAGGAGAAAAGATTTAAAGAAACTACATACTCTACCAAAAGATCAACCAGGTATATCAGCAGCTGAAAAGATCGAAAGAGCTCTTAATATGATGAAGAAGAGACAGTCATTACCAGAGTTTGATAATGAAAGTAGCAATTCATCATTTATGAGTTCTTCATCATCTTCTCCAATCCGAAGAACGTGGGGTGCCACATCACAACGCAAAATTGGACACACTTCCGGTGATGGTGGTGGTGTAAGCAAGAAAAAAATGAATAAAACAAATCGTCAATCACGTTCATTAAGCAAAATACGGAAGCAATCACATAAAGGAATTGCTACCTCTTCTGCAAATATTCGAAAGAAAGGACGTAAAAAGAAAAAGCGATCATCATCCAGCGAAAGTGGTAAGTCACAGTGCGGGTGATTTTTTTTTAGTTATATGTGTGATTGATTGTGTGTTTCAGTGGTGTATCCAAATATCCATCTCTTTTTATTATTGGTGAATTTTATTTTATTTCTTTTTCACTAGTAACGATTTGCTTTAAAATTGTAAAATGATAGTTGCAATTTTAAATCTAACTGGAAGTGTTTTTTTTTTTTTGAAAATCTGAAACTGACATTTACGATAGGATAGTGGATATACCATTGGTGTACGTGTCGCCGATTGTTGTGTTGTTTTCTTTTTCTTTTCTGCACTTAATAAAGAAACAAATAAAACACTTTATCTTCGGGTTTTCTTTACTTGTTCAAATCTGTTAACCAGGTCAAGCACCAAAATGATTGCTTTCAATTAAATCATATTTTTTTTGTTCAAGTCACATAATTTTGTTTTCTTTCATTATTTACCGCCTTTTTTTCAAAATTTGAATGATTTGAAAGTCTTTATTTCGAAATATTTGTTTCGAATTTATTAAAAAAAAAAAAAGCTTATATCATATGGGAACGAAATTATCAATGCTTGGTTTTTTTGGGGGGGAATTTTTAAAAAGATCTATGTTACGAAGTTCTGTAATATCAGGACATTGAGTCACTGAGGTAATTTTTAATTTTATCAATCAGGTTGGATTCATTCTAATTTCTAACAATTCCTATTTAAAGAGGAAATGTTTGCTTGTTGCAGAATTGTCATTGGAAACGAGTAGTGTTGAGTGGGAAAAGATGAAACCAGTGGTTACTCCATTACCAGCAGCACATGCTCCAATAGTATTTGATGAATGGACATATCATGATCCAGAAAAACAGTGTGATGCTAGGTCGGGTTGTAAAAAACCACAAAGTGAAAGTGTTGTTTGGGTATGTATTAATTATTATTATATATTAAGTTTATTAAATTATTTGTACTTCTAATATGTAATTTTGTGTGAATCTGCCTCTAATATTTAAAATTAAACTTTGAACATTTACCAAAATTGATTCATACCAAAATTTGAATGAATTTTAATCAGAATTAGCACTTACCAGATAACGTGAAGGATTTATATCCACAGAGCCGGGTGAGTAATTTAAAAGTCTAGAAAAAAGCAACATAAAGCATTGCAAAGAATTTTTAGTTATCAAAAGATTTACTAAAAGTAACATTTCGTGTCCTGTTTTATGAACTAAACAATCATGTTTAGATATTGCTGTTATAGTTAATGGAGATTTAGTGGTTTTTTTTTTTTTTCTTTAACCGTTTCGAAAAATCAATTTAAAAAATTTTTATCGAAAATTTTAATTGCAGTTGATCGATTTTATTTGATTTAGTTGTATTGCAACAATGATGGTATAATTCTATAGGTGCAATGTGATTATTGCTGCCGATGGTATCATATGGAATGTGTAACAGAACATGGTGTAACAGTTGGTAATTCTGATGATTTCAATTGTGGTTGTAGGGAATTAAACAAAACAAGCTGATAATATGCAACGATTTTCTTCCTATATATGGTTTGTTACATGCAACAGTTTTTGATGTCCCTTCTCTCTCTCTCTCTTTTTTTTTCTTTTCTTTTTGCATTTTCAATTTCAATGGTATTTGCAAAGGGTTATTTAGTTATGATATCAAGTTCTGCTTAGGTCTCGTTTGTGTTTAATCTATATTTGTTATTCATCTCCTAAACATATCTGGCCTTTGATGAATTATAAATCTGCAATCTTGCAGGTCATGTTATTTTTTTATCCAGTCCAAATTAAAATTTCTAAGTTAATTTAAATTGCATCCACTTTACTTTTCGTAAAAAAAGAAAGAATAGGCTAACCTTCCGACTCTTCTAACCTTCTGAACTTGGGCATCAAATTTATGAATTTGTCTTTTTTTTTCTCTCTCCCCTTTCAAAGTTATTCTGAATAAGTCAGCACGTAAGTGAGAGTGATAGGGAAAAAATTAACAGGTTTTTTATATCGGTGATTCGATGAATATTCTTTTTTATCACTGATTTTGTATTGGTATTACATTTTCAGTTGACTGAAACTTTTTTTTGTATATATGGTAATGATACTTCTTATAGTTTTAATTATGAAAAATGTCTTAATTATGGCATTGAATTTTGCCAAACATCAAACGGTCCACTATTTGCTATCGAAACTGTGATAATGCCTAGTGTGGCATTTTTTTTTTCTTTTGTGAAGTCTTTTAAATTGTTTTAGTATTATGATGATATTTAGAGCATAGTTTAATCGTAAATTAGGATGTTTTGATTGTTGTTTTAACAATTCCTGGATTTCTTTTCTCTAATCCCTAATATGAATAGTTTAGATCTTTTGCAGTTTGTTTTAATTCAATGCATATTCCACTTTTCTATAGCTTCACGATTTAGGCTTTAAATTTCTTTTCATTATGAAATTAGAAATGATCATTTCTATAAGAATTTCATTATAGAATCCAGGAATTTTGTTACATTCATGCTGTGATTCATTTTTATATTGATCATTTTGATTACCATTTTCCCTTTTCAAAAACTCTGGTATTTTATACTGAAAAAAGATACGAGCAAATGTACAGCTCCAGGATGTTTAACTCTATTTTTGCATTTTCACATTTATTTCAATGATTTGCATTTTCTATACGTTGTTATGTTAATGTTCACAAGAGCTATTTGTATGTATTTATTGTTTTTGCTAATTCCATTCAAATATGCTAGGCATATATTATTTCAAAATTTTATCAGATTGCAAATTTTATCAGTTAAAATACCAAAATATGCATTCATGCATGCACATTTTCACTTTAATCATAGGTTTACATGTGATATACATACTCAGGTTACAATGTAATCAATTAATCAACCTGTTACCTCATTTATTCGTAATTGTTAGTTGCAAATGATAGCATATGAAATTGCATAATAGATATTTCTTTGAAAAGATATGCACAAATTTTTATTCTAAAATTTTTACCTCTTACTTTCCATTTATTTTGCTTATATTTAAAATTTTCAACAAACGAGATTATTAGAGAACAAGTAACAAAGAAAAAAAAAGGAAATTCGTTGTTTCGTGTTGCAGTGTTTTCAAATATATATTGGCTGGTAGCAAACCTCAGAATAGTATACTATGATTGTGAAACGATTTAAAATATTTTGAAAATTGTAAGTATTTCATAATTAGTGTATTGTTTTTTTTTTTTTTTTTTTTTTGATCTATTACTATCTAATAACATTAGATTTGTAAAGAAATGCATATTTTGAATAGAATTTCCTTTGCTCCTTTCTCTTTCTCTCAAATTCATATATTATGTTGTGGCTTGTGAAGCGCATAGAAATGAAAGTGGGAATTTTAGAATATCTGCTCAACTTTGACTTATATTTCTAACATTTTTTTTTCTTTTTTAGGGAGAATAAAAAAATTAGAGAAAGGAAAAAAGGTTTTGATATCTTAGTTTAGTAGTTTTGCTCAGAATTTGTAAAGAGGGAAAATACGCATATTGCAGATTTTGGGAAGAGACAAATGATGTCAGTCACTTGGTTTTGTTCATCGTTTGAATCGTCGAGCAATTCAAATCAAACAACAATGGATCACAGGGTAATCAAGAATTACTACTTAATACTGATGGGAATATTATGATTATTCAACGTGAAAGAAATTGCTGAAGATAACGTGCTCATTCGAAGCGTATTTTATTTCAGCTTCAGAATAAAAAGTGTGCTTCACGTATTTCTGTTGATAACGTGACCGTAAATTGTGGAGAAATCAAGGTGCATCCTGATGTAGCACTTTGCAGTTCACATCAAGATGACTCTACTTGTTCACTAATCGATCGATTTCCTCTACAAAATGTTGAACAATTAGCTGTAAATCCGAAAAAGATTGATGAGGTATTTTTATTTTATATTTTGCAATCAATTTTGCTTCTGCTCAGGTGCTGAAGATAAAAGAATTTTCACATCTGATCAGATAAGCAATAATGATTGAATTAAGCTACATACATGATTACAATCGGTATTTTGTAATTTCAGAATATTTTCCATCCAAATAGTATATATCTGTTTGTTACTGTTGCTTTTTAGCTGAGACGATGGATGCAAAAGAAAGAAGGACGATGTCGTACATGCAAATTACTTCTGCTTACCGGACCCACTGGTAGTGGTAAAACAACAGCTGTGAAAATGTTATGTCGCGAGCTGAAACTTGAATTAATTGAATGGAACTGTTCCGAATCCTACGATGTGTTTTATGATCCGGAAGGAGAAGAAATTGTTTATGAGGAAAATCAGGCAAGTCATATTTTTTATGTTGCTAAACTTATTGTTAGTGAGTTTGCCGATTTCTTTTAGCAGTTTCTGTAAAAGTATTTGTGAAAAGTGGTGAAACAATCCAACAATTTACAGCATACAGCTGTTGAATGAAAACCAACTCATAATTTTTTTACACTGTAATTTTAGCACTTTGTTGTTTACCTTTTAGCTATCATGATGCAGTTGCCTAAAATATATTTTGATGAGCTCGAAAGAAAACGAGAATTCAGTCTTGTTTTAACTGTCCCAAAGTAATAATAATTTGTTCTAAATAGGAATTTTTAAAATCTCCTTTTTAAAATCATTGCTCAGGTTGTTCAGCAATTTTAAATTTCATCTTCAATGTTATAATACTTCATTTGTTTTTAGGTTAGGAAATTTACTGAATTTTTGAAGTCATCGGATCGTGGATCTATTGAAAAATCAGTTTCACAGAAAGTTATACTTGTCGAGCAACTGCCGAATGTTTTTTATCAGTAATACTTTTGCTAAAGAAAATGTGCTGAACTATGGATGTTGTTAGATTTTTTCTGTTTAGGTTTATAGCAATGTCGTGCTTTTTTTAACTTATTTGCATTTAGCCGGACTTATTTTAATTGCTTTTTCTAAATAAAGTTCAAAGTCAAATTTAATTCAATGTCAGATAAAAAAAGGAATATGACTTTAAATGCAAGTCTCTTTTTTCAGTGAAGAGAATTAGTGATGTATGATTCATTATTCTTATTTATGGTAATCTCTACAGATATATTTCATGTTTTTTTTTTTTTAAATTACAGAGATCCATCGATACTGCATGCAACACTAGGGAAGACCATCAAGAACACAGTTTGTATGTATATATTTATCATGAGTGATGTTGATTCCTGTTGGTATTTAAGTCCAAAACGTATTTTACCTGCAAATATTCGTTTTCAACTAGGCTTTGATGAATTATCTTTCAATGCTTCTGCAACCATTTTCTTATCGAAAGCATTACGAAGGATTGCTTCGCTGTTGAAGGTTAACGCATCACCGTCACAAATTAAAAAAATTGCCGAGAATTCCAATGGTTGGTATCTAAGTGTGCTTTATTATACTTGTCTTGATTAATGACATTTATCAGTTGATCTAACTGGATTCAAATTTGAAATAGGTTACAACGTACAAATATTACACTTTATATTCAGGTTTTCGTTTTGCGTAAGGTCCTTTTATAAAATTGAAACTTTTTATTGAAGGATATTTTATTTAAGATGTAAATTTTTTTTTCAGTAGATTTTTTTTCAGTACTTTATGTTCAATTTTCGACATTTCTTTGCCTTCTCATCTCTAATTTTTTCTCTCTGTAATTAAACATGAATATAGTTGCATGCAACCGGTTTATATATATTTCACTGCAGGTGACATAAGAACAGCAATTCACAATCTGCAATTATGTATCGATGGTCGCAAAAAATTTAATGAAATCTGTCCTCTTCATTCCTCAACATTAGTTGATCCATATCATAGTTTAGGAAAGCTCCTTTATGCGAAAAGGTATTTCTAAAAAATTCTCTTTCACATAATATTTAGTCTTTTGAAGTTTTCTTGAGAGATGCAGAAATGCGGCTGGAATAAAGCCGAAGGAAAGTTAAAAATTGAATTACGAAAAACTCTGCCGAAGTTGGAAAGGTCAGCAGGTATTGTTAAAAACATTAAGATTTCGTCTTATTAAGGGATTAGTGTAGTCGTACTTGTACTGCCATCTTTGCTTTAATTGACTGGTTGTAAAAAATTGTTCAAGTTTAATACATGAAGGTGTGACAAAGCTGATAGCGACTGGAAGAAAGCTGAAGGAAAGTTGAAAATTGCATTAAGAAAAATTTACTCCAGAGATTTTCCTCCCAAGGATGATGTCAGTGAAGTGCTTGACAAAAGTGGTATGAATGCTGATAAGGTTACTGACTTATAGATTTTCATTTAAAGGCATTTGAATATTGATATGTGTCCTATTTTAATTTTTTAAGGTGATTTGGGAGCATTTCTTTTTGAGGAAATCAAGTGGTTGAATTTAATAAACTTTAATTTTCAAGTATTTTGTAGCTGGTGATGTTCTTACATGAACATGAGCCGAATTTTGCTCCATCTTTGTCATCATATTTGGGCATTCTCAATAATATAAGTCTTTTCGATTCAGCGCTTAGTCGTTGGGAAGTTCGAATGGATTCTGTCCTAAGCTCTTATATAGGCGAAGTAGGTGTAATTCATTTACGAATTCTTAATTTCTGAGGTTTCTATTTTTAAATCACATTTGAATCAGGTATACTAGTTTCAAATTCAGAAAATTTTGCAGAATAGAGCGGTCTTTCTAAAAATTAACTAAATTCGCAGTTAACCCTAAAAAACATCAACAGTTAGTCTGTTGTTTGATATTCTGTTATGAAGCAGAAAAATTGTAGCGAGGAAAAGTAAAAAGTTACTAATTTCATTGTTAACGAAGTAATTGGTTTTACTTCAGGTAGCAGCTCGATCTACCATTTTTTATAATTTCGGATGCAGGACTAGGCAAGGTGAGATTCCAGATCAATTTGCAAATAGTGTTGATTCTTTCAATAAAAGTTCAAAGTAGAGAAAAATACAAACTGCTTTGCTAGTTCAGCTTTGAGTACTTCTCACTGACTCACGTTTCATTCTCTAAGTTCTCAAGAACTGAAATTTCTGGTTATTAAACGTATTCTGTTGTAGGTAGAGGATTGTATCGCTTTTATAAACCCCATTGTTTTGAAAATGGTTTTCAAGCATTCAGTAAAGAAAAAGAAATTTATGCTGCTTTCCCTCCACATATCTATGGAGAGGTTTTAACTCTGTAAGAAATCTTTTTCATATTCTCAAAAAATGGATCTTGTCCATGGCTTTGCATAAAAATTTATATGATTTTAAATATTTCAACTTTATCAGAAATAATTTTCAATGAAAAATTTATAATTTCTTGTTCCATATTGCTATATTCAAAAATTTGCTATTTAATAATTTGGAATGATTTTCAATGAAAAATAAGTTGCCATTATTAATCTGATGAAGAGATGAGTTTTGGGTTCTTAGTGAAAAGAAAGAGAGTTACAGATGATTGCAGGACACTTCCATTAATTAGACTTATACAGCCACGAAGGCTGAATAATTATCAGTATCAAGTGCTTGTATCAATGAATTCTGCACTATGTACGAATTTTACTGTTAATCAGTCTCCAGCAAACAAGAATTCTGTAACAGATGATGAAGAAAATCAGTTTGATATTGAAGAAATTGATCTTTCATAATTTTTCTCTTTCCCTTGCATTACAATCAATTTCCATTGTTCTTACTTCATATTTGTTATTATTTTATAGATGCCTCGGTATTTCATATATGTCATAGTAGTAAAATGATAAAATGAAGAAATCAAAGCCTATTATGGACAATAATAGAGCATTTTCAGTTGATTAGAATCCATAAGAAAAATCACTGATGTAAAACTTTGAAACTTGAAATGCGCTTGGCTAGATTATCAAATAGATAAACAATCAGTTCTATCAAGTATTTCACCGCAATGTTACTTACTTTATTATAAACTCATCAAATTCATACAATTCATCTGTTCGCATCAGTAAAAGAACAAAAATGTGATTAGGAGTTTCATACGTCTAATTTGTCTCTTTTCTACGTATCTTACCCACTTCCCTGTATAACTTTGTAAAGTTTTCCAAGGTGTTTAACTTTCCGCAGACTCATCTTTTTTCATATATATATAAGTCAATATGCTTGGAATTTTCACAGAAGACTCTCAAAAAGAAACATCAGGAAAGAATGAACTAATTGAAAATAAACATATAAATCGAACTCATATTCGACAAGCACTATCAGTTTAATAAAATATTAGATCCAAGAAGTTACACAACACTCACAATTTCAAAAATTCGAGAAAAAAACTTTAATTTCAAAGAAAAAAAGCAATTCAATTTCAGAAAAATCGATTCAAGGAAAATACATGACAAAGTTTTTTTTTCTTCTCTTTGTCATTTATGAATTCGCATATGATTCATTCACTATAAGTCATTTATTGCTACATATAAGTTGCAATTATTAGATTTCAATTTTTTTAAATAAAATGAATATTTTATTAGAATAAATTAGAATTACCAGACGCAGCTTATTGTGCTCATGAAAGCTGAAAAATTCACGAAGCTAAAAAATTGTAATTATTTGTATATAGAAATGTTAAAGGGATCAAATTAGTGAATAATTTTAAAGGGGTCGTCAATAAGTCAACAGGGTAAATATGTTTTGCAGGTAGGCTTTGATTGCAACATTGACCAAAAGGGAAAAAGAAAATCATGTAAAACTACAGTAATATGTTCGTTTAGTCAGTAAAAGAAGCTGTTCGAAAGATGGAATTTATTGCCAAAAGAGGAGAAGCCTTAAAATTTTAAAAAAAATCAATGAACGGAGTACGAAGATATTCGAGATAATTGATTTGACTGCAATTTAACAATTGAACATTTCAACATAAAAGCAACAACTCAATAGAAAGATGGATAGTGAAGTCTGTTACCCACAATTTAACATTTATTTATATTTGTTTTTTTCCTAATATAAACCTTAAAATTTTACAATATCATAAAAAAAAAAGATAGACAGATAAAGGTATTTCAGTGTTAGTGGAATTACAACAACAAACTGTTGAATCTTCTACTACTTTAGCTAAAGAAAGTATTTATTTGAAAACTGAAGATCAGTTCTCATCTAAATTAAATTTGAAGTAGGAAAAAATTCAAAAACCAAAAATCATTTAAACTAATGATCCATATGTTTATTTGATTGTTCAAATGGTTCATTTATTAACATATTTTGTTAAATTAGTTTTCAATTACGAATCTATTTTAAACTGACTGAATTTTTAATTGCACAAATTAATAACTGACTGATAATTCATGTGTAACATAAATTTTTGTCGAAATAACCAGGAAGTTACTAAATACTATCATCATGTTTTACTTGCAAAGCTGTACAAATTTTTCTACAAGTTAGCATTATTGAAATTATGGTGACAAAATTTTAATTATATTGAAAAAAAGAAAAAATATGATATCAAATTCATACAAAAAAAATGTGATACTAAATTGATACCAAAATTCATACAAAAATTGAAACCAAATTCATAAAAAAATGTGGTACCAAGCTTTTTTTAAATTAAATGAAATAAACTTTGAGCAGCTGCATGATTCATAACTAAGCTCATTTTATTTTTGGTCATTTCGTTTATTGACCATCTCTCGAAATTCATGTCTATTTGTTTAATTTAGCATATAGGTACGATGCAGTTGTCATAATAATAGCAGCAAAAGAAATAATGTCGAGAAAGTCAAACATTACAGTCAATCAATCACTCAGATCATTCATTCAATAATAATGAATTAGTAAAAGAGGAAGGAAGGAGGTGGAGTCTTCTCGATTTTCTCGATTAAATTTTGTCGAGTGATCGATCCTACGATCTCTTCAATCAACATTACCTGAGTTATAAAGTTTGCATCACAAACAAGGTGACACTTTCACATCTTTCAGTAAACTGTGTATCACAATTCATCCATCACTCTGAAATTTAATTTTAATCTTTTCTCGACTGTTCCTGCTATTACTATCACATTGCTTTTTGTTTTTGTTTAATTAATTTCTTCCCCTTAATATTATATCTATTTCTAAAGCTATCCATATGTATCAATACAAAAATTTCAATAAAAGCAGACAGCATTTTAGACTTCAAACCATTAATTTTTATTTTTGCAGGAAATTTACGAAATTTCATAGACAGTTTCACAGATTATTAATATTGCAAAAAATGTCTTTCCCACACTCACGAGCACATTCTGAACTCTTTTCGGCATCTCAGTACGATGGACCAATCATTAAGCGATCACGCATAGAACTTAATTACTTTGTCATTCCAACTTTTATATTATCAATTGTTGGCTTGGCATGTTTATGGACATTATGGTACTACATGAGGTAATTTTCTATAATTTTTATCAATCATTTTTTATAATCATAAAAATGAGTATGCTTTTGTTACCTGTTGCATTAATATATATATTTTTTATTATTTTTGAAAATAGCTCAGTTAATGTAAACATCTCTTATCATTTGCGCATTTTCACTACATAATGACAACTCAGCCAAAAAAAAGTATTATTTATGATAGAATTTAGTAATAATTAATTTTACTCTTAGAGAATTTCAGTTTTACGACAGTTTTCCCCTATCATCATCGAGTATTCCAGTGTCGTGACATCCTTTTATACAGACCAAATTTTCATTCAGAGGATTTCAATCTGTATGTGTCATATGCGCTCCTTCATGCATTTGGTTTTACATTACCTCCACTTGTTGTATGTTTTGCATTTCAACTTTTTATCATTTTATTTATTTTTTCCTAACAGTGGCGCAATTGTTAGCTTAGTAAACACTTACGAGTCAATCACTTTGTTAACTAAATTCTAGATGAACTATTTACTTCTTCACTTCATGTATGTAGATTGTTTTGTTATTCTTGGATCGTTATCATTTTTTTAATGATTTAGGTCACAAATCAATTGCTGATTTTTTTGAGTTACTTTTGGCTTGCTATTTTACTTTACTCTTATCTAAGTTTATATTTTTTTGTATTATAGATATTCATCGGTGAAATAATGTTTTGGCTATTCTCCACTAAACCAAGAAAGACAGTTTACGCTAGTTGTGGCGAATGTAAAATCCATTTATTAACTCGACGTCTTACACGATTTATTGGTCAGTTCATCGCAATAATTCAATTAACTTTATAAACAAGCTTTTTATTAGCTTAATAAAGTTAGAAAAAATTTCTGTGAAATTTCATTACTCTAACTGTTACTGAATTAGAACAATGAAAGATGCTGTAAGATACGATAAAAAGCATTGGCAACCTATTGCAAGAATTACATCTTTTCTTTAAATCAGTCATGATTATTACATTTAAAAATCAATAAAAATTAGAATTTGAAGATTGTTTCAATCATAGATTTATTTTATAATTATTTTGAATTCTAAATATGTCCAAAAAATTAATTATAAACCCAATTCGTATTAATTTTTTTTAATATTATAACATTTTTCTTTTTAATTCTAAACATGTCCATTTTTTATAATTATTTTGAATTCTAAATATGTTCAAAAATCGTAATTATAGAATAACCAATTCGTATTAAAAATTTGAAACTTACAAACATTTGAAAAATTAGCTTTATATTGAAATAATTTGATTATTGAAGTGAAAAGAAGGACTATAATTTGAAATTTTTTGATGACCTTACTTGCAGGTGTGTTCATGTTTGGTGCACTTATAACACAAATATTTGTTTATACGATCAAATTTATGACTGGTTATCATCGGCCATATTTTTTGTCTCTTTGTAGACCAAACATAAGGTTTTCTCAATTGTCGCATTTTCTTCAGATGTAGACTATTCTATTTCCTTTGCTTTAGTTTGTTTACCTTTGTGAAAGTTTGTGTTTAAGAGGAAAACGAATATATAAAGTCCTTCAGTAATGGAATCTATTGTAAACATTTCGTTATTCAACAGAATGGAATTTTTATAATATTATTTTTAAGTTATTATTGCTATTCGAATGAAATCTGTAATATTAAGATAGCTACTTCATAATCTTTTTAACATTTAATGAATATAAAATCAAAAGATTTGTCAGAAGAAACAAGTAAATCAACTTTCTTAGCTAATAAAAGAAAAAAAAAAGAATCGAATATATCTGAATATAAACTTTAATGTTATCTAAAAGGCTTTATTTTATCACTTATGATAAAAAGAATGCTTCACATCTCAAATTTTAATGATATACTTTTCTTTGAGTTAAACTAATGAGAGAAATAAAGTCGCTAAATCCTATAAAATTAAAATTATCGCATGTTTACCGAAATAATCCTTAAGATAGGTTATGAATATTTAAAAAAAAAAAGCAAGACGAGAAACTATTGATCAATAAATATAGAATTCTTATCAGTTTTATAATACTTATTCCTTAAAATCTAAAACTGCTTTATCTATATAACTTCAAAATACTTTTTTTTTTCTTTTCTAACTTGTTAGTTTTTATTAAGCTTTTTATTGAACAATTTTAGCTTTAAAGCTTTATTCACTTTTTTTTTTTTCAATACAAAAATACCAGATGAAATTACAGTGCATGTACAGGACCGCTTGAGCAATCACCATCACCATCTCCCTTCTTAGCATGCTTATACCGGAATTCTAACGATTTGCGTTACGCTTCACTTTCCTTTCCGTCACTCCATGCTGCATTCTCATCCTTTTCATGTACATTTGCTTCGGTAAGTCTACTACTACTAATTCCTTTCAGTGCAAGAAAGAAACAAACATTTTAAAATTCAACTATTTAACATTAATATATAATGAAACAAGTCTCATATATAGTAGAAATCTCGAGATTATTCTCGAATATTACTGTCATCTGGTCATGACACTTGCTTGTACAGTTGTTTTTTTCATAATTCTATACAAGCAAGCGCTTACATTATTAAACTAATTGAATTTAAAAATTGAATTTGAGTATTTTCTCTCAATTATCCTTGTTAAATCCAATTAGTTTAATAATAAAAATAAGAAATGTAATATTAAAAGAGAAGAGAAGAGAGGAATAAAGTTAAATTTACAGTGTTATATTTATTGTATGATCAATCTACGTAGTGCACCTTTATTGCGACCATTTCTGATATTTGGTTTCATGGGTCTTACGCTAATTGATTCATTTTCACGAATCAATGGTTATAAAAATCATTGGAGAGATATTTGGGTCGGATGGTTGATCGGTTTTTTTATTGCTTTTTTCCTGGTAACTATTGAATTGACTCGTTTAAAATAAATTAAAAATTTTTCACCCTAACAAAATATTGAAATTTCATTTAAATTTCTTGCAGATCATTTTTCATGTTACGACAAAATATTTTAGTAGTTTTATTTGTAAAAATACAATTTCACGCAGTAAATTATTCATTCTTCAATACTTTTAAAATTTGTTTATTAAAGAAGGATTAGAATGAAGTTAATAGCAATATATTATTGTATCATTTTCAGTGTCATTCTGTTCTATGTTTCCAAGAACATTATTATTATGTAGTAGAAAAACCGATGACACTGGAGGAGCGCATTAGTCCATTCTTCCAATGGTTCAGGTTACCACGTATAAGAGCGCCTTCTTTAAAGGAGGAATACACGTAAGTTTGATATCATTTCTTACAGAATAATATAGAAAAAAAACATTTACTTGTTTATTTCAAAAAAAAAAAACTCAAAAATCTATTTCAAAATCAATTATTTAGCATTATTGATTACCACAATGCAATTATCTTTAAGTAATAGAAGAAAATAATAGAAGGAAATAATTTTAAATTAATTTTCAATGACAGAGTCTACGAAGAGGACATTCCACAACCAACAGTTTCAACAAATACTGCAGCACGTCATCGGCGAAGTCATGATCGTACTTATGAAATTACAACAACAACTGAAAGTTTTCATCGTACTGTTTCTCCATCACAACAACAACAACAACAACAAAATGGTTACGGTGGTTATTGAATTTTTTGAAGTCCATTGAAAAGATCATTGTACATTTTTTTATCACTATAAAATATTGCTCAATTTTTGTAAACAGAAAAGAAAGGTTAAGCAGATTTTTCATTCAGAAATTTTACTACATTTTTGAGATTACGATAGTTAATTGGAAGTAAGTTTCATATTATCATACTTTATAGAAATTTATAAAACATTTTAAGATTTTTTAAAATAGTGGCAGACCAGTGATATTCATTTGAAATAAAACAAAATGACTCAACCAGTAAGTAAAAAAAAAAGCGAAGTATTTTATAAAGTATGACAACATGAATAGAAATGTATAGATAGATAATTTTATCACTGTAACTCGTAGTGATTAAATGATCACCTGGAATAATCATAGAATACAAAATTTTCTCGACATTTACTACCCTAGTGCAAATGATGATAATATCAGCATTGATATCACTATTTTAAGATGAAATAAATTTTTTTTATAGCACTTTGATCACAATTATTAAGAGCGATCATTATATAATTCATTTTTATTTCTTCATAAATGAAAAGATAAAAGTGACCGATAACAGAAATATTAAATATTAATTTTCAACAGATAACATCTCATGCAACAATATTCGAAATGATTTAGCTGAGATAATTACATTTGAGTGTAAAATTATTCACATAATAAATAGATGCTAAAAAAAAAAATAAGAAAATAAACGCAAAATTGCAACTCGAGACATACTAGGAATATTTCTTTTAAATGTAGTTATCTGAATAAAGATGACAACACCTTTACCTGCAATTATTAGAAATTTAGCATTTGTCACTTTTTGTTGTCACCTGTTCATGATAAAATCAAGTATCTTCACAGTAATATTTGTTCATGAAAATAACAAAATTAAATAATATATTTTTTTTAATAGTATATATTCCTATAAAAAAATAATCAAGTTGACTAAAAAGATCTTTAATCCAAAAAAGTTTTCAATCAAAAAAGAAGTGAAAAAATTATTTTCTTTTGATTTTGTGAAAATATTGTTAATTAATATGTTTCATTTTATCATCCTAATATTAAAAAGATACCGCAAGCTAACTTTTTTTAGTATATGCAACAAAAATATAATCGTTATTATTAAATTAGCATCTTTAGAGATTATTTTTTACCTGAATTTACTTTTACCTATACTTTAGGCCATAATTAGTCGAATTGCTATCTTTAAGTGCCAGTGAAACATGTCTTATCCTAAGCAATTATAATAATATATGTTAAATTTCACATGCATATTTTTATAAAGGTAATCCGTTTGAAAAATGAAAACTTTTTGAGACATTGTATTCTTTTTTTTTTCACTGCATTATTTTTCGAAAACAAATAATTCTTTAAACAAATATTCAGGATAAATTTGGACCCAAAAGTAAACAATGATATTTGCATCACAATTATAAAAGTTCGATGCTTATCTTACTAAACAAGATAAAGAAAAAGTGCTTTCTGCAACTCTTGAAATGGCTATTTAAAAAGATTTCAAGTAAATAGGATTTTCTAAATATAATTTTGATAACAATAAATGTATTCAACTCACAATATAAGGCGAATAATTCTTTTGAAAAGATAATCAGTGTTTTTCTCAAATTTGTAAACTAAAATAACAAAAAAAAAAAAAAAAAAAAAAAACAAAGAAAGAAAAAAAAGCAAACAAACCTATGAATAATTTGTTGGAAAAATTTGTGACTAAATGGAAAAAATCCTCGAGCAAATGCATGTCGTATACGACTACTCATAGAACAAAAAAGACCAAATGTAACGCAAGAATTGAGCAATGAAAGGATGTCAAATAAATCTCCCAGTAATTCAGATTCTGCTAAACTTGCATCCTGCATCGATGATAAAACCAAAATAATACCTTGTGGTACTTCCACAATCACAAAATTTACCATAATTATCTTAAAAAAAAGTATTCCTTCAATTGCTAGTCTTTAATTAATGATAATTCATTTAATTTCTTAGCTACTTTCATCTAATTTTTCAATATTCCTCTGGTCTTCTCTTCTTTAGCTAAAAAATATTTGCGACAATCTCAAAAATTATTCAACATGAAGAATTACGCATTTCGTAAAGAATTCATTTGAAAAGCCAAATTAATCAGTCTACATCGTCATCAGTATGTCTCCCTCATTTGCTTTTTACTTTTTTATTTTGCAATAATTTTGATACTGTATTTCGAATGATCGATTGATATGAATTTATAAATATTGAGAAAAATTGGTTAACTTTTCACAAATTTCATCTTTTAACCAAATTCAATTTCTTTATTATTTCTTATTTGTTCCACCTAGTCATCGTCGTCAGACACTTTCACACTTTCTTTTTTGAATGACTGCTATTTTTCATATTCTTATCCAAAAAAAATGCTTATTCTTCTTTACCTACAAATAGCAAAACTTCATTTTGAAAAGTGAGAAATTTCATAAATGTAATGAATTCAGTCATCAATCCTGGATAACTACTTATTTTTTTTTTCAAATATTTTTAGCTGTTTAGACTTGTAAAATATGAAATACTAGAAAATTTTTCATGAAATTTCCACAAATTTTGAATCGCAACATTACTGTGCTTAAACAAAATTTAGAACTTTTCATTAAAAAAAAAAGAAAAAGTGGCATAATTTATTTCTTTTAGATCTAAAATGTAATTTTGGATATTTTACACAGAATAATAATATAAAGATTTTTGCATACCATTATGATATATGTTATACATCGACGTCTTTTTTCACGTATCGGTGATGTAAACCTGACTGATAATAATTGGATCTGACGTAATTTTTGCACCAATAGCACAGTCATTACAATCATGACAATACATGGGATAAATTTGCATATAATGCCTAGAAGCCAGAAGTTTATTCGTCCAAGAGCAGTACTACTGGCCAAATTAGTGAAGCTAATCTCATGTACCGAAAGATTGCTCTTAGACGAAGACTGCACTGAACATTTCCAATGCGATGCCACCTTACGAACTTCGGAATTGAAAAAAAATGGAATACACAGCAAAACAGCACCGATGTTAATTAGCATTATGATACGTAAACATTTCTGCAAATTTCTTCTTATTTTTCAAAAAATTATTTGTCACTCTTTTAAGCTAAAAATGCTTCCTCCAACCCCCCCCTCCCCCTCCTCCCAAAAAAGGATTACTTTTTATTTATGAAAGAAAAGAAGCAATGCTTTTAATGTTGATTCTCGAGAATAGATCCTGTTTTAAAATAAAATTTCCAAAAATTCTTTTGAGAAACTAACAGTATAACTAAACCAAAGTTTAGTGATTTTTGTTTTGAAGAGTTGATTCAATGATATAAAACGAATAATTGATAATGTAATGATATGAAAAACACCGCTCATATAAACCACTACCGATGCATTCACCGATACCTAAAATTGTTAATGGAAAGACATTAAGAAATTTATATCAAATTTCTCAATTTCAAATCTTTGCACTTATCACCACGTTTCTAAAGGCTCTAATTATTATTAGATTTTATAAATTTTTCAGGAAATTTTGTAAAGAGTTTTGTAATATGATAATGTCATATAACACTATATACTACTTTGAAGCTTGATTTGAACTTCAATTGCACTTAAAAGATATTCTAAAAAGCAAATTCTCTAAAAAAAAGTATTTCCTCTTCCATGAAATTATATATCCAATTCAATAACCCAAATTTAAATTTGGTTCAGTTTATTTAATTTCTCAATTTGTTATGATTATTTTGCATAATATGAAGTTGTTTATTTAGTATCATTCGAATACTAAATGAAATTTGATTAGATCAACTTTTTTGGTTTGAAAAAAATTCTCTTCATTCCTGGCTAATTGACGATGAAGCAAAAAAATTTTTTGAATTTAATTTTTAAAATTTCCTTGCATCAACTAACATAAAAAAAAAAAAAAAACATACCAATAACGTAGAAACCCATGCATAAGACCAAAGTTGTGATATGCAACATACATCACTAAGATATTTGAATAAACTGGAGTAGAAGAAATTCGCACATAATGCAACTTGAGTACTTAAAAAAAGAAAATCTTAAATCTAAATTCAAAATCAAAAATCAAAATATAAAATTAATTTTTTTCAGCTACAATAAAACTTTGCTTAAGCTTTTTCTATCTTTTAAAGGTGGAAAAAAATATTTTTCAACAAATAAAAATTATCTTTAAAAAATTATAGTTCATATAGTCAGTCAGATTTCAAAACTTTTATAAAACCAACATTACTTGAATATTATAAAACTTATAAAATAAGTACTTCAATTCTAACTTATATCCATTAATTTACAGGGTTAATTAAAATTTGAAAACATACTGATATTATACAGTTAATTATATATAGGCAAAAACTTCTAATATCAAAAATTTGGATGAAATTTTAAAAAGTGACATAATTTTAAATAGTAATGTGAGAAATGTGTTTCATCAATTTTATTTGTCGGAAGTAATCAATTTATATATTAAAAGTAATCATTAATTAGTGATTTATCAGTTAAAAGTTTTCATTTTCAATTATAGAAATGTGAATAATCATATTGGAAGTAACTGTTTGCTTCCAAATTCTAAAATATTTTAATAACGCAAAGTTTATTCAAAAAAATGAGGTAATTAATAAATTATGATAAGGAAGTATATAACTAAGATTGTAAGAGATAATAGGTCAATTATATTTTATTATTTTTTAATCTAAAAAAAGATTTTATGTCTAATTCTATTAAAAAAATCAAAATTTAAATGCAAAATTTAAAAAATAAATAAATAAAATAAAAGTGTCATATTGCATAATATCTAGCAACAAGGTAAAATATTAATTTAAAATAATAATTAAACATTAATTTGTAATATTATTTTGCAATTTAGTTGTAATTAAAATAATAATATATTATTTATTTACATTCTGTTAAAGAAGAATTCATATTTTCATTTCAACTGTAAAAGAATTTAATTTATCACAAGGATGAATGCATTCCAGAAAGATAGAGTGTAAATTATTTTCACTCATAGATCATATCTGATTGATAAAAAATTTTTTGCACAATTTTTTGATTTTTCTAACTGTACAATCTTTTGACATAATCATTTCAATGTGGTTATATGACCTTTCTAAAGCAGTCTTTCAAGAATAAATGAGGTCATTTAATGCACTTTATTTATTAGTTAAATAATTGATAGATTGAAAAGAATGTTGAATATTGTTTTTTTTTTTTTTTACTGTATGTATAAAGCTGAGCTAAAACTCAAAACTTTTTGTTAGGTTTGATAATTCGAATGGTTGAAAAAAGATTTAAAGAATTTCCATCTTAGACTTCTAAAATAAAACTTCATCTTTGATAAGTCTATGTTACATTTTAGTTTACTTACTCTTAATTATCAAGGGGAATTAAAATTCCATGTTATTAAATTTCTTACATTAGTAAATTTATGCTGATATTAATTAATGAACAATAAAAATACTATTCATATGATTAATAAAGTAATCATTAACAAATCTAACTTATACTTCGAATTTTAATTCATGAAGTTTTTCAGTACTTTTCATTGATATTATGTATTTCTTTTATGTATACAAAAGGGAAAATAGGAATTCAACAAGTCAATTTTAGAAAAACAAAATTTTCTGTTTCACTGCATTCTTTCTATTTCCTTTCTTTTCGTTTCCTTTATGGATAAAGTTGACAATCTAATTAAAAATTAATCCTTCAAGTCACCTAAGTATAAAAAAAAAAGAAAAAAATATATTAAAAATAAGCTAAAATAAAATGATTGGTGTTAACATCATTGGTATCTGAAATCAAACAATTATTTAACCTAAAACTACTTTTCATAAAAAATTTCTTGTTTTTTTGTTCTTTTTTAAAAATGAAAATATTAAGGAAAACCAAACCAAGACATGCTAATCATGAATAAATTATTTGGATTAATCATTGAATAAAGTATATATATTGAAATGACATGTCCAGTAATGCCTGCAGTACAAAGTACCAAAATAATTGCTGTTTTAATGTGTACTGCTAATAATACTTCATCTTCTTCGGATGACATTTGATAAAATAAAGAGCGTAGTCAAATAACCAATCAAAGTTCTAAAACAAAAGAGAAAATAGTAGACTAAAAAAAAACAAAACAATTAATGTAATTTAAAGTTTTATTTTAAATTAAGAATTACCATAATAAAAAAGGATTAAAATGACCTTCTAAAGATGTAACATTAAAATTATTCGATGGATTAATAATGATTGATTCAATTTTATAAATAACTAATAAAACTGATCAAAAATTTAAAGTAAAAGGTGAAATATTTATAGAGAGAGAAAAAAAGTGCAATCGAAAAATAAAATATTTACTTAAGCCATAATATTTATTATACAAAGTCTTCGAAGCAGTTGGATTAAATCTAACTTTGAGTATTAAAGCTCCAAAATTATAAATATCTTTTATACACTTTAAATATTTTATCCAAAGAAACAGACTATGAAGTAGTGCATCAAAGAACAAATCTTTAAATCGAATTACAACCAAAAAATCATATGATGAGAGGAAAAGGTTCTAGTAATGACGAAAAAAGGGAAAAGTGAAGAGAAATAAAGTTTCAAATTAGATAAGAAAACAAAATTTTAAAAAAATTCGAGAATATAATCGAAGTTTGAAAGAACTGATAAAATTACAAAGTTTTGGATGTAAACTTTATTTCAAAACTTACACAAAGTAATTCAAATAATCCAAATAATTCAATTCAAAGCAAAATCAATTTCATTCCGAATAACTCGACGCATAAAAATTACACATTTCCAGAAAGACTTCTCATGCAATGATCCGGTCGAGTTGAGCAATATAATCCAGAATGTCATACAAAGATAAGATGAAAAAAATAAAATGCTCATCGGAAAGAATTTGTTACCCAATTTCATCCAATCAGAAATACCGAATAATCAAAAAAAAAAAAAAAATGAAAAAATAAATTTTGTGAAATATTAGCGACTGAATTGAATAATTATTAAAGTTATCTTTATTTCAAGTGCTGATTTCATTCATTCAGATATTTGCTAAAATAAATCATTCTAATATGATTTTATTAGAAAAATTTCAAATTATTTTGAAAAAAATCCTCCCAAAATTTAAAATATTTAAGAAATCCATATAAATTTTCTGACAAAAATTTATTAAAATGTATTGGAGTCATCTATAAAGTTATATCTTTTTGAAGTACATAATGGGACGACAAATACGAGTAAAATCAACAAAAGCGAGCAAAATAATTGGTGAAATTAGTAGTAGTAAAGTTAACCTAAAATTAATTAACAATTTTATTAACTAGATCAAACAGAAAATTAAAAATAATCCGAATATCAAATAGAAAATTAAAACTAATCCAAATTTATATTTTAAACAAAAGAATCTTGCATAAATTTTACAAATTCAGAATTTATTCTGTTTTGGAAAAGAGAAAAGCAGTAAATTACAATTTATCCTAACAAATAGAAACTATCTAAAAATTTTTTTTATCAACCAAAAATTTTGCAGCACATTTCAATTATTCAGAAATAGCAAAGGTTTGAAATAAATTAGCTAATTAGAATTGCAAGACTAAATAAGAATGAATGGAATGAAAAAATGAGGTGAATGGGTTAATGGTCATTATCTAGGCTTTCTTCATTTCTACACTATCTATCATATAAGCATGTTTATTTGTCAATATTATCCTTCAGGCGTTATAAAATTAAATAAAAATGTTAAGCTTCAATCTATCCAATTCTGTTTGCTCCATGTTTATGTGATGACTTTTTCTTCATTCAACTGGAAACAAAACCATTGCTGAAAATAGAGTTTCTTTTTTTTTTTTTTTTTTAAATAATTTTTCAACGATCATCTGCATTCTTCACAAATAATCACTCTATAAATTCTCGAATTCTTATCCGGTAAAAATAAAATTGCTGGCTTTATCATATGTTCTAATAATTCCTTCAACAATGAAATAAATAATTGGTAAACCTTTCAGAAATGACTCTTCATCACTCTTACTTTGCTATGAGATAATACAAATTTGCTCCATAACAAATAATCGTAAAGTGAGAGAACAATAAGTGAGAGAAGACAAAAATCAAAAACAAAAAAGTAGTGTATGTCCTCAGAATGCAGAAAATTAAGAAAATATTATTTTTTACGGAGTCATTGCAGTTTCTTACTACAAAGTTTAGATTTTTAGTTTTTTCATATTTGGTCAAAAATTTATTTTTAATGAGTTAAAAAAAAGCAAATAAGTGAATGACACTACTACTACTACCATCATTATGTGACTGAAAGTATTTCTTGGCTAATAGCTTCTAATTTTTTGAGGCTTCTCATAGATTCTTCTTCTTCTCATAGATTATTATTTGTAAGTTCTTATCAGTAATCAAAACATTACATTGATAACTCATCCATCTTATCTCCAGTTTTAATGATCTATCTGTCATTGTTATCTGCACAAAATTATGGATGTTTAGGATGACGAAGTTTCATTGGAAATAATTTAAAAATGTTTGTTTTAATCGTAATAAAATAAACAGTGCTTTCTAGGATAAAAAAAAGAGAAAATAAAAAATAAAATTTTTTCATTTTTCATATACTTTTAAAATGTTTTATTTAACTTAGTTCATCGTTTATCTATATTAAAAAAATTTCGTTGAAATATAAATAGAAGGAATTTTATTGCTTGAAATTTAATTAAGAAATTAAATTTTCACATAAAGATGTGCTAATTTAAAACCTCTTAAAAAATTTGAAGTTTCAGATCATAGTCTCGAATTATATAGTTTTTAAAGCAAATTTGACTTGAGAACGAATCAATTTTTTCAAGCATAAAAATAAATGTGAAAAATAAATGTGTCTGAAGCTATTGCTTTGGGAGAAATTCATAAAGCACTACTTTCTTTTTAATTTAATCCAAACATGAACGCAAATCCAAGTCTCAAAAAAAAAGGATTATAATTTTTTTTCTTCCACATAGCACAAAATTTTTCAATTTGATTTTTTTTTTTTTCAAAGTATTTATTATCCAAGTCAGAAAAAAGTATATCAATTTCACTTGCGAGAAATGTCTTCGAGAAGTTCATTAATGCTCACTTGGATATGGAATCGTAGTGGTTGCTATGGTATCACTGCTATTTTGAGAAAAATTAAAGTAAATTGGAGAGAATGATCAGAATGAATTAGCAAAAAAGTAACAATAGTTTTAATTTCATTTGAAAAAAAACAGAAAAAAAAAGTAAATTTTTCTATTTCATAAATCAACTTTTGCTTTGCATCTTCAACAATCAGATTTAAATATTCTTTTAAAAATATCGTATAATTAAATCGCAAATCTATGTTACATCTTTTAATTCTGAAATATTCGAAATAGATCACTCACACAAATTGAAAAAAAGCAAAAAAAAAAAAATGAAGGAAAGTGGTTAATATTAATAAACTATTACAGATTAACATATGAAAAAAATCTTTAAAAAATGTTAAAAGAATTAATGAAAGAGTAAAGTTATTTCCATTGCACAAAAAGACTTATTCCCATACTGCAAATGAAATAATTCAACTGGTAGTGCAGAATGATTTTGAATTTCAGCTATTAAAATAGAATTCTTGAATGGTAAATTCTGCTTTATTAAAATTATCTAGCATCACTATCGCATAACTAAGATTAGTTGTTAGCATACCATATTTCCAGTATGCTTTTTTCGTCTAAGTTAACCAAACAGCAGCAGAATTTCAAACAATGCTAATTTGATAGGTTTTTTTTTTTAAAATGATTTTTATTTTAAAAATGAAAAAAATTTAAAAATAAATAGCTATTGTCAATTTAATTTTATATTGAAATCAATTTTATAAATTAAATTAAGATTGGTTCATTATGAAAATCTTACAATTAGCATCATTTTTTTTTTGTAATTTGAAGAGCGAAATAAATTTAATTCAGTTAAAACTGTATTCTTCCAGCTTAAAAATTTAAATCCCTCGAAAAAAAACTTGCTTTTTACATGCCCTTGCATTACATCTGCTTGTTTTCATGATACTTTACAAAAAAAAAAAAAAAAAAAAAACTTTGTAAACATAAATTAATAACATTATACAAAAAAAATCATTTGTATGTCATGTATTAATGAAAATTTTCAAAAATATTGCATTTAAGGTGGATAGAAAATGAAACAAAATTAAAATAATTAATGATTTATGATACAAAATTTTGAATATTCCATAAGTAAAGTATATGGGAGGAATTGTACGCTATCATTTATAGTTATTATATTATTAGAATACAAAATTGAAATTTCATTATGAATGCTGAACCATAAATGTACACAATTGATTTATATATCAGTTTTTTGAATTTTGAATAAATTTTATACCATTTATATCATTATTCCAAAACATTTGTTTGATGAAGAATTAAGTAAAGAAGCGATAGCAATTAAAAAAAAAAAAAAAAAACTAAAGGAAAAATCAAAAATCATCATTCATTAACTTATACCACTAATAAATCAATGTTATAAATATAAATTATTGAAATTAGTTATTATCCTGTTCGGTAAACGATAATATAATATTAAATATAAATAATGATAAAATTCGAATATAACGATAAAATAAAATTTCACTAAATGAAAAATTTTATTTAAAATTCACATTGAGAACAATTTGATCGATGAAGAAAAAAATGAATTTCAGGATCAGATTTAATTAACAGTAATACCATTTAAACCTCATAACGTTGTTTGATGTTTGATTGCTACATATTTTGAAATATTTTAATGATAATTAAAATTTATTGTAGAAGCAAAAAAATGAATTAAATTTTGTAATGGAATTATTCGACAGACATAATAATAATTTTTCTATTTTTTTTGCACATTATGCATTAACACTAAAAACTGTTTAAAATATTTTTTTTATTATAGCAATTTTTTATATTATATTGCATTTATAATAATAATACAATTTTATGAAATTTGAACAAATAATCATTAATTGAGATGATCATGGCAAGAAATGGGTTAAAATTGTATAATTTAAGA